TGAAAAGGCACTTGGGGTAGGCCCCCTCTCCTCTCCAAACCGAAGCCCGGAGAAATCCTACAACTATACTTGGCCGTCTTAAATGAGGTCATCAGTTCGGTCCTGGCTCGAGAACAAGGAACCACCCAACTTCCAGTTTACTATACAAGCAAAGTACTCCTATCATCGGAAATCCGTTACCCCGATATGGAGAAGCTCGCTTTGGCCTTGATCACGGCCTCTAGGAAACTAAGACCCTACTTCCAAGCTCACACCATTCACGTGCTGACAAACTTTCCCCTAAGGCAAGTGCTCCAAAAGCCCGATGCCTCAGGAATATTATTGAAGTGGGCAGTGGAGCTAAGCGAATTTGACCTCGTGTTCAAGGCTAGGGCAGCCATCAAGGGTCAAGCCTTGGCTGACTTTGTGGCAGAATTTACCAACTTATCCGACGTGGATGAAATCATGGAACCCGCTGAGCCTCCTACACGGGACTTATTCGTAGATGGGTCGGCTGGAGAAGCCGACTCAGGTGCTGGAGTGGTCCTCATCAGCCCTAAAGGTCACAAGCTAAACTCAGCGGTGAGATTCGGGTTTAAGGCCACCAACAATATAGCAAAATATGAGGCACTACTTGCAGGCCTCGGGCTGGCCAAGGAAATACAAGTAAAGAGGCTCCTCATAAGTAATGACTCTTAGCTGGTTGTTAGCCAAGTAAATGGAAACTTCTCAGCTAAGGACAAAACAATGGTCTCGTACCTGAAAATGGTGATGAACCTCATCCCATCCTTTGAAAAATTCAAACTAATCCAGATCCCCTGCATCAAAAATTCTCATGCGTATGCACTCTCCAAGCTCGCTAGTAGCAAGGATTCGGAACTACTCGCTGTAGTACCTATACAGCACCTCTTCCTACCATCGATCGAGGCCCCCAATGTCATGTGGGTCGCTGGGACCCCTACCTGGATGCAGCTAATCTTAGCATACCTTAAAGACCAGGTATTTTCCACTGACAAGCTGGAGGCCTACAAGCTAAGGAGGAAGTCAGCTCACTTCTTCTTCATTGATGATATTCTCTATAAAAGAAGCTTCTCCTCTCCACTCTTACGGTGCGTCGGAGGAGAAGAGGCTAATTATATATTAAGAGAAGTCCATGAGGGTGTATGTGGTAATCACTCTGGAGGTCTATCTTTAGCGCAAAAAATATTGAGGCAGGGGTACTACTGGCCTACCCTGAAAAGGGACGCCTTCTAGTTTGTACGAGAGTGTGACAAATGCCAACGATTCTCTTCGGTACAAAGACAACTATCACAAGAGTTGACTGCGGTCTCCAGCCCTTGGCCTTTCTCAAAGTGGGGTGTGGACCTCATAGGTCTTCTACCTAAAGGAGGTGCAAGCTTTACAATTGTGGCCATCGAATACTTTACGAAATGGGTTGAGGCCGAACCCCTTGCAAAAATTACAGAGGCAAACACTTCCAAGTTCTTATGGAAGAATATTATATGCCGGTTCGGGATCCCCTATTCGATTGTCTCAGACAATGACAGACAATTCGACAACAAAAAGGTTAGAGAACTATGCGAGGAACTTAGCATCAAGAAACATTTCTCCACACCTCACCACCCACAAGCAAATGGCCAAGTTGAGGCTGTCAACAAAACAATCAACACATGTCCTAAAAAGGAAGCTTGATGTGTTGAAGGGGGCCTGGGTGGATGAGTTGCCACAAGTACTCTGGGTGATCCGAACCACCACAAGGACCCTAATTGGAGAAACACCCTTCCTCATGGCATTTGGAACTGAGGCAATGAGCCCCGTTGAGGTCGGATTACCGTCTCCAAGACGTCTGCATTTTAGTGAGATGACAAATGACGAGCTTCGGAGATGCGACCTCGACTTCATTGAAGAAAGAAGAGATGACTCTCAGTTGAAGCTCGGTACATATCAAAAGGAAGATGACGAGCTACTTCAACTTAAAAGTCAAGAAAAGATCATTCCGAATCAACGACTTGGTCCTTAGAAGAGTTTTCCTTTCCTCAAAGGAACCTGGTTCCGATTCCCTGGGTCCGAACTAGGAAGGCCCATATAAAATCAAAGAAGAGATTCGGCCTGGAACTTATTAGATTGAAGACATGAACGGCAAGGCACAACCCTGTCCATGGAATATCGAGCACCTCAGAATCTATTACCAATGAGTGTATCGCCTCACAGGAAGGTCTTGCCCAGCTCATGTAATGTTTCTATGATTCATAAAATTCATTTGCTTAAAACGGTCGCATTACGTCGTAACCTCGGAGGAGAGGCCCGGATCCCACCTCTGGGCCACCTCGCTTGAACTCCGAAGCTCATACACATGCCTCCCTTTGGTGAGGCTGAACGCCAAGGGGAAAAGCCTCAACATGGCTGCATCATCCACCACGTTGGGAAGCGTCGTCACCTCGGAGGAGAGGCCAGGATCCCACCTCTGGGCCACCTAGTTTGAACTCCGAGGTACATGCACATGCCTTCCTTTGGTGAGGCTGAATGCCAAGGGGAGAAGTCTCAACATGGCTGTACCATTCACCATGTTGGGAAGCGTCATCACCTCGGAGGAGAGGCCAGGATCCCACTTCTGGGCCACCTCACTGAACTCCGAGGTGCATGCACATGCCTCCCTTTGGCAAGGCTGAATGCCAAGGGGAGAAGCTTCAACATGGCCGTACCATCCACTATGTTGGGAAGCGTCGTCACCTCGGAGGAGAGGCCAGGATCCCACTTCTGGGCCACCTCGCTTGAACTCCGAGGTGCATGCACATGCTTCCCTTTGGCGAGGCTGAACACCAAGTGGAGAAGCCTTAACATAACTGTACCATCCACCATGTTGGGAAGCGTCGTCACCTAGGAGGAGAGGCCAGGGTCCCACCTGCGGGCCACCTCGCTTAAACTCCGAGGTGCATGCACATGCCTCCCTTTGGCGAGGCTGAACGCCAAGGGGAGAAGCCTCAACATGGCTGCACCATCCACCATGTTGGGAAGCGTCGTCACCTAGGAGGAGAGGCCAGGGTCCCACCTGCGGGCCACCTCGCTTAAACTCCGAGGTGCATGCACATGCCTCCCTTTGGCGAGGCTGAACGCCAAGGGGAGAAGCCTCAACATGGCTGCACCATCCACCATGTTGGGAAGCGTCATCACCTCGGAGGAGAGGCTAGGGTCCCATCTCTGGGCCACCTCGCTTGAACTCCGAGGTGTATGCACATGCCCCCCTTTGACGAGGCTGAACGCCAAGGGGAGAAGCCTCAACATGGCTGCACCATCCACCATATTGGGAAGCGTCGTCACTTCGGAGGAGAGGCCAGGGTCCCATCTCTGGGCCACCTCGCTTGAACTCCGAGGCTCATACACTTGTATCAGAGTGATATTCCCAATTCGGCTACAACACGGTCCATTCTTAGGATCCCTTCAGGTTACAGTTATTAAGTTCAAATACAATTCATTTGCTTAAGTCCCACATTGGACATAACTCGTGAGGCTTGCATACAATTTATTTGTTCAAGTGATTGGAGTCAGGATACCTAGTTAAAGTTATCTAATTCTTCAATTAACATTATGTTCAATTACTTAACAAGGCCAATACACTTGAGAGAAAGAAACAACATCGAATGGAAAAGAGATATTATATTAATTTTCAGTTGAAAATACAAAGGAGGCCTGAGGCCAGTACATCGTCAATAACTGAAAAGAAAACTATCCTAAGCCTGGGAAGGTAATGGAGGTGCTTCAGCAGTCGGGACTTCCGCAGCTTGAGCGTCAGAAATTACTTCTCCTGCATCTGCTGCTTCAGTTCCCACCGCCTCATCAGCTGGGGTTTGAGGCACCTCGTCCACAAACTCCGACCTGAGTTGCGACAGGTCCTGATTTGGGTACAACTCCTCAGCCTGCTCCATCACCTCGGCGTAAGCAAAGTTCTTCCAGTAGGTGCTGAAGCTTTGGTACTCCGCAGTGTTGTGAAAATTAGCAATATAGTCTTTCACTGCCTCTTCTCTTGCAGTTTGGGCTTCCTCCCTAGCATAGGTTGCATCATCAACATACCACTTAACTTGGCCCTCGAGGTACTTGTACGTATCTTGGGCCCCTGCCGGCTCCAGATTAGCCTTCTCTAAGGCTTCAGCTGTCACCCTTTGGTGGTCATTGAAAACCTCCACCTTCTTCGTTAAGGAGGCCACCTCGCATTGGGAGTCATGCACCTCCCTCTTTAACGCTTCTATCTGAGCCAAGGCAGACTCCAGCTTGGCCGATTCTTCAAGTTTTTGGGCCCTAGCATCTTCAGCTTCGGCCCTAGCTGCCTTCAGCTCCTCTGCAAGGGAGGCAACCGTCTTCTCAGAGGATAGGGTCCTCGTCTGACAGTCTGTAAGAACCTCCCTACACCCCAGTGTGAGCCCAAAGTCCTAACACTTTAGCTCACAAGAGCCCTGGTTAAATCCGTCGCATCACAGGAGGAAGCGTGCAGCTGCCACGGATCCGTCCAAAATCTATAAAAACTTTCTGTGACGCTTCGGATCTCAGGTGGCAGGGCCTCCACCAAAGCTGGGGCCAGAGGCTCCTCCCTGCCGGCAAGGAAGGTCGAAGACTTATCTTGTACACGAACAGGCCTCTCTTTGGCAGCCTCCTCCTCAGCTACCTCGGCTTGCCTCCTCTCAGCCTCCTCTCTCGCCTTCTCAGCCTCAACACGCCTGACCATTTCAATCTTGACTGCTTTCAAGGCGGCTTCTAGTAGCTTCGGCGGTCCGGCTTCTTTACCTTGGGATATAGAACTCCTAAATTTCCCAGAAGAGCTGGAGAGGTGCACAAGTTTTCTCTTCTTCGGCTCCTTAAAAACCTTCTCCTTCCCCCAAGGCTCCTTCACCTTTTCTTGCCTCTGGGAGACCCCCTCTTCGGAAGCCCGTGAAGTACTATCTTTGGAGAGTCGTTCAACCCTACCTCGGACCTCCTTTACACCACTGGACCTCGGCTTCAAGGGCCGTGCCTCCACAGTAGAAGTTGCCTCTACGAATCGAGCAAGCTTTCCTTGCATGCAATGATGTGGTGATGAACCTCTCATTCTAATTCAGTGCTCTCCGAACCGTACGGCTTGGACAAGGAAGGAACAGTATGGGCCTATGCAAGGGAAAGAGAAGGGCGAGATGGATTGGATCAGGTGCTGGTACATGTATGTTGTCAGTACCTTAATTCAACCAATAAGAAGTTTTTGATCCGATATCTCACTTGAAGTAAGAGAGCGGAGCGCGTGGCACTAGCTTTCCAGTTGCGTCAGTTCTTGGTTCTCCTAAGTTATCTTTGCTCTGACTTAGGCTTCTAACTCGAGATGGCCTTTATTTTGTTTTCGGGAGTGTGTAGATCTGTGAATTTGAAGAAACCTTTTTTCTTCCATTGGCAGCCTACAACATCGATTTCAAAGCCTAAAACCAGCAAAGCTTTTGGAATCTGTAGCTCCTATGGTAACTAACTCCTTTCGTCATTGGTGACTGCCCCCCCAGAGGCTATCATCACATAGAAGAAGCCTTCATAAAGTAGGACAGTCTTAGAATGGACACCATGTCAGGAGCTGGGTACTCGTTCCTCTTAAACTTATCTGCACAGCACACTGCGTCAGTACCAAAATGAAAACACAAAAATATACAAGTATGGGAGCTTCATACCCTTGGATGCCATCAGGTCGAAGTCCAGAAAATAGTGACTTCTGTCGATGAGGTGGTCGAAGTGGCGAAGCTTTAGAGGTCTCTTGTAAATGTCCTTTATTACTTCAAACTCCTCTCTGCTCAGCTCGAACCTCGTACTGCAATCTGCAAGCGAAGCATCAACACTTAGACAAAAAATTAGAGCTAAAAAGGAAATGCAAACTACTAGGGTGGGAGACTCACGAGTTTCGTAGTACTGGGTTGGTACTGTGCAAGACAGGACTTTGTCTCCCTCCACCGCCTGCCACCTGCCCCTAACCCAGAACCACGACTCCTTCCACCCCTTTATGGAAGAAGGTAGCCCCACCACAAAAGGTGCATGGGCCCCCTAGGGAGTCAAGTAATACCACCCCTTTGACTCCTTACCTATTATCCTAGGCTAGAAGAGGGTCATAAAAACGTGGAGAGGCATGTCCTTCCCAAGCGACACTTCCTTCCACAGGAAGTACGAGCCGACCAACTGGCTCCACCCATTTGCAGAACCTGAGTCGGCGACAACATGAAGTTCCTCAACACAGCCCTGAAAAAGGGGTGCAGAGGAAGACGCGTGCCTGCCTTAAATAAATATTCACTCACTGCAATGCACCCCGGCCTAGGATAATAGGCTCGCTCATGAGCCTCGGAGACTAGCATCTCCACGTAATGAGGTACACAGTACCTCTCCCTTATCTCCCCCAACCTCTTCGACGTCATATTCGAAGGGACTCTAGACGCCCTCCACTCTACATTGTAATCAACCTCCTCTTCGGTCATAGCAATCTGCTCGACCTCGGAGTCTCCCCTATAACTAGACCCCCGACCAAACGACGCGACAGTAACCAACTCCCTACCCGAAGTCGACTCCATCTCAGAAAGCAACTAATAACACAATAAGAGGATTTTCTGTGAAAAATACCTACTGAAAAACTACACGAACTGAGTTTGCTGGAAAAGCAGTAAACGGAATTGCCTTAACGCCGGAATGTCTATGCTCTAAGAGGACAAGTTAGATTGCAAATGCTGGAAGATTCTGAAAAAGGGAGTTTTCTCGCCTTTTATAAAAGGACAGAACGAACCCCCACCGTCAGATCGAAGCCCATTCAATCTGAACCCTTCATTTTAAATCAAATTCGAGGCGTAGAATTTAAACGGTTTTTCAAACCAACACCTCAGATTTAAGCGTGTCTCCCACGCACCTCAGCCAACGCGTCTGCTTCTAGAAGCTCCAGCTGTTCTAATAATTACGATTTTAATTCGGTGGCAGTAGGTGCCTTGGAAGTTGCAACGATTTAGCCACCTCTCCTCGAAAACATGAGCAAAACATCAAATCATTGGCACAACTAACAAGGAAAAATTATTGTCAATGAACCTCGACTTCATCTTCAACATTCAGCTATCAAACCTAGCAGGTTCGGTTCCCCAACCACCTCGGCTTCATCTTCAACATTCAGCCATCAAGCCTCACAGGTTCGATTTCCCAACCACCTTTGCTTCATCTTCAACATTCGACCATCAAGCCTCGCAGGTTCGGTTCTCCAACTACCTCGGCTTCATCTTCAACATTCAGCCATCAAGTCTAGTAGGTTCAGTTCCCCAACCGCCTCGGCTTCATCTTCAACATTTAGCCATCAATCCTCAAAGGTTCGGTTTCCCAACCACCTCGACTTCATCTTCAACCTTCACCATCAAGCCTCAAAGGTTCGGTTTCCCAACAACCTCGGCTTCATCTTCAACATTCAGCCATTAAGCCTCGCAAGTTCGATTTCCCAACAACCTCGACTTCATCTTCAACCTTCAGCCATCAAGCCTCGCAGGCTCGATTTCCCAACCACTTCGGCTTTATCTTCAACATTCAGCCATTTAGCCTCGCAAGTTTGGTTTCCCACCACCTCGGCTACTACATCATTCACCCGCAACAACACATTTCAAACTCCAACCATGATATAAATATCAATACTTGGACTTGGGAGACTATTATTTATGGTTCAAAAATTCTTTCAATTTTTACCTAACCCACTGGCTTGACTTCATTAAAGTCCACGCGTTACATAAATGACTATACTTAGATTTGGGGGACTATTGTTATATATTGTCATACTTGGCTCACTCAATCCAAACCACGTGGCACTCTAGCCGAAGTGGGCTAAATGGCCGATACCCTTTATACCGAGGCTCATATACCCTTTAATGTTGCCGAACTCCATATGCCGAGGCCTGTGGATATTTCCAAAGCCCTGAAGGGGAAGTAATACGTGAGCGGCAGAAGCCCCCGAACCATGAAGGAACTTCTTCCATAATCATCTCTCCCAAGAGATCTACATAAAGATCTTGTTTGAATGATTGATGGAACGTTTGTCATGAGTGCATATGTCAAGTCTTATCACTAGCATGGGGGTTCTGCATGAGCAATAAATGCGCAGCAAGCTAGCAAGTCGAGGATGATGCCTAGGATTGGATGTTTGAGTTAAGGAGATGAAGCCACGTGCTACCTCATCTAAGGGCTGTCATTTCACATGTAACACTATAAATACTTCCTCTATATAACATCAAAAGGCTAATGCAAGAATCAATATGAGAAACTACACTTTACTCTCCCTTTAATATTGTCTTACAACACAATACAAGTATATGCATATTTACATTCACATTCATGAACACCGATTGGTAATTATTGTACAATCAGATTACGAACTTCCCGTCGGATTCAGAACGTACTCGTCCCTCGTCGTTGAGCTACTTCCACGCCCCTAAAGAGGTTCGTTCCAGACTATCCACGTGTCTTAGCGTGTATGACCTTCACTCATGTGTGCGTGGGTGGGCCCGACATCTGTTGACAACACTTTTTGGAGTCAACAACTTCCAAGAAATTCATGCTCATTACCTAGAATTCTAGAAGTCCGGACTGTTAGCTTACCTCATAGTAACACTGATAATATGCAGCATCACCATTACACGAGTATTGCTAAAATTCTACTCACTCTGTCCCATAAAGATAGATTTGTTTCCCTTTTCACATAGATTGAAAAAATACAATTAATATAGTTAGAAATAGAAAATTTTCTTACATTTTTCCTAGTGTAGGAATAGTTCATATTTGTTGAAAACAACACATTAAATATGGATTTATCAAAAAAGTCAAAATCAATTATATTCTCAATAAAAAATTGGTATATAATTAAGGAAAATTGCAACGAAGGTCCCGAACCTTTCATTTTGTAGTAGAATTCACCTTAACCTTTCATTTTTGTGGCTACAGTCCTAAACTTTTCACTTTAATTACAACCGGAGCCCATTGGACAAATTCCGTCCAAAATTCCATTTCTCAACACAGAAATCAGATTTTTTTATTCAAATTGACAAATGAAATGAGGGGTAAAAAGGTCCATTATATTCTTATAATTAAACAATTAAATAAAAAACAAAAAAATGAAATTCATCTTCTCCAAAACTTGTTCGTTTATCGTGAAACTATAATCTTTTCGTCAATATAATCCGATTAGTTACGAGATATGCATGTATGTCAATCTCAATTATTGATTACATCTTCCATCCCACTCTTATTTCAATATTAGTGGAAAACTCTTTTCGACTTATGGACACACCTTGACTAAGGACATTGTTATCAACTAATTGAATGAAATGTAGATCATAATTTTTTATTATCTAAGAGTGATGAATCTTCTATTGAATATTCACAACTTTTTATATGATTCTTGACATGCTCAGACAATGTAGTATGGACGACTCTTGGCAGAGCAACATCTAATATAACCAAATTATGATTGTTCTCATATAAGGCATTATGAAGACATCAACTCGAAGGACCAATTCAATTACTGAATGTTAAAGACTAACCATCGACACTTAAATAGTTACCCATGTGAAATCTCTCCAGTGTGTCTCCCATGTATTGTTTTTATAACAAAATATTTACGTGTCCATCTAAATTTGCATGGCAATGAGTTCAATTGGGAAGATGGATTCAGGATTATAGCAATTGATTGGAGCACTATCATACCTACTAAAATATCCTTCTTCTATTAAAAATTGTGGCAAGATTTGATTCCAGTTGATGTGATTGCCAAAAATATGCTTTTCGATGCCAATGTTGTTCGGAAATTGAGACTACCACGCATACCTTCATAAAAAGTGTTATCATTGACCAAGTAAGGCAACACTTTGATGATATATTTTAGATGCCTATGCAGTCAAGTAAGGGAGTCAGACATCGATTCCAGATATGGAGATATTCAAGTTAGCATGTTCGTTATGGTCACATTCGCACTATCATTCCTCTATTTATTTCTGGTTTCTATGGATCGAGAGGAAAGATGGAAACACAAGGATATTCACATGGTGCCTAGACGGATTATTTCGAGGGTCTACCGTATGATTTCATTTTTTCATATAGGACGGTTGTTTTGACCTATACATAGGGATGTCAAACGGGCTGAGCAGCTCGTCGGCTCATCAAAACCTGGCTAGGGCTCAATCCTATAAGCCATTTTGACGAGCCCACGAGCTTGTCAAATAATATGATTTTTTTTTAAATGTTCAAAATGTGCAAATTTACCAAATTTTTTTTAAAAAATCACGAGCTCGCAAACTGCTCGGCCCGCAAGTTAGTGGCTCGTGAACTCACAAGGTCGTGGGCCGAGCTGAGTTTGAGCTCGGCTCATCTTTCACGAGCCACGAGCTCGGCTTGCCATGAGCCCGAGCCGAGCTCATGGGTTAAAGGGCCGAGCCCATTGCCATCACTACCTATACACACTGGTAAGGAAATTTATCTCTTACTCCTTTATTCGGTATCTCTATGACCTACCTTTCCCATCACCCCGTACTTCATCGATGGGATCTTACAAGATCAACACTGATGGTTGTATTAATGATGGATTTGCTAGTGGTGGTGGTATTATACGAGACCAAACTAGACAGTGTATCAAGGTATTCTCTTCTCCCTATGGTGCTTGCCTTATTTTGGAGGTTGAGCTTCGAGCCATATTGGATGGGATTCTTCTTGCCAGACGAATTAGGATTTCAGATATTTAGGTTGCGACTAACTCTACTGTGGCTATTCACTTTATTGTCAGGGGTGGAAGACCTTTGATAATTCAGGGTAGTCTCAAACACATTAGACACCTTATATACTTTGAACGTGATACTATTTCCCATACCTACCATGAGGAGAACTAGGTTACAGATTCAGTTGCCTCAGAGGACTAGGACAATCATCACTATCTGTAGTATAAGACCACTGACCTTCCTCGACGGCTCACGACACTTATGCTGATTGATAGATATGGATTGCTTAGCTTTAGAGGTTTGTAGTCTAGAACTCATTTACTTTCATTGTAGCGGGAGTAGTATTCCTCGCTTATTGCTTTTATTATATTTGTTACTTTGTTGATTTCTAGAGGTAAGATTTATGTCACCCTCATTCCCTGTGCTCTTGCCTTTTTGATGATATATACATGGTTGGAGAATCTTAACATCTATAATCTTCCTCGATGGAGTCTAAAATCTCACTAAGGATATGTGGATGACTTTGCTATTAAAAAATAAATAAATGACTTCAAATGCCCCCAAAAATCACATTTCTTCCAAAGTACAATATCCTAAACTTAGCCAATCATCTACAAAGATGCAACTTCACTTGTAAGAAAAATAAGGGAAATAGCTCTTTGCATGCTTGGTGATCAATCATGCTACGTGTACAAAGATTTTTGCTAGATAGTTTCACAGATTGCTAGCTAACATAAGTCCATTAAATGTTGAACAAAAAACAACTTCAAACTAGTAATCTAGTGCTGCCACCTCATCATTTATGAAAATTTATGAAAATTTCATTTTTATAAGGAGCTTAATTCCTTGATGATTTATTGGGTGTCATATTTACTTAAAGGACAATCAGGGTAATGCCTAAAACAACGTAGTTGCACAATGTTCTAAGCAAAAATAAAAAAATGGAAATGATAGGAACGATAACAAGATGTGTTGACTCGTGGACGTCTCAACAATGGCATCTACAAAGGCTTATTTATAATGGGATAATTATATTAGTACCACAATATTTATTTCTTACACCATATTTTAATTATATTTATGATTTTCAATCTTTACTCATTATAGTATTTATATCCCTGACAATTTTTCATGGTATTCTTATATTCAAACTTTTGATTAGTTAACATATTTTGTTTTCATTACAGTTTATGTCCAAAAAAAAAATGTTGAAATAGCATATAACAACTTACTTTCTCGTCATATTTTAAAAAATAAATAATAAATAAAAAGCGCGAAAATATATTTTTCATCATTTCAAAGCATAAAAACAAAACATTTTAACAGAAATCATTATTAAGGATGAGATATACTAATTAATGAAAGATCAAAGATTAAAATTAGACGAAAAATGTTAAGGATATAAGCAAAGATTGAAAAGTTCAAATACAATTAAAATGTGAATGTGGTGTAATAAATAAAAATTGCGGTGACAGTTGTACCACTCATCAATTCTTGTCCTTTTACATTCATCTGAGATTTTATATCTGTACTACTTACATTTTACAGTTTTGGTATACTTCTGTTTCCACATTACACATTAGTATTGGCCAAAATATTAACAAAAAATTCAATATCAATGTAGCAGGCAAGAAGAAAACAAATTAATCTTATTTGCTTTAAGACTTCAAATACTGGTATTTCTTAATTACATTTGGCAACTATCAGTAATCTCTCCAGTAAAAAGAATACTCTATTCTGAAGAAAACAATAAATTATTTAACTCACAGTAAACAAATTATACCCCATACACAGTGAATGATACAAAATCGAAAAGCTAGAAACCTGATGAAAATTGGTATATCACAGATGGACACAACTTCTACCTTCACTAACCTCTCCTCTCATCTGAAGCTTTTCTTTCAGGATAATACTCCTCTCTAGATGCTTTTGTTTCTGAAGAAAGGTTCACGAAAGGCTAAATTTATTCAAGCCCAGTTGATAAAAAGTTGCCTACTTTCATAGCCAAGCGTTCCAAAATATTAACAGATGATGCTAATTCTGTCAACTGCTTGCTATCAAGCTTCAAGATAAGTTCCATGGAGATGAAATTTTCTGGTAAATTCGAGAAGTCTTCTTCCTTGAATTTATCAGGTTGAAGATTCTTTGCTTCGGTAACAACAGCTTCAGCTTCAACAAGCAAAATATCAGCTTCTTCAACGTCACCTTCCTCTAGTGCCGTGGATCTTTCAGCTGAAGCAGCATGTGCGATAAGAAGCAGCCTTTGATATCTGGTTATTCCAATCTTTTTTCCTTTGGATGTAATCTGCATTTCAGTTTCCTGCAGTTTTTGAAGAGTATTGCCAGCTTCTTCTTCAAGTTTCTTGATTTCCGAGATTGCACTCTCCATTTTCGTCTGCAATTCTTCTTTTTCAACACCCTATACCTTTGCCTCTGAAGCTATGCGCGCTGCTTCTATGAAATTTCTTATAGTTGCAGCAACTTTCTTCTCTACCTACAGCTCTGGCGCTCTTTTATCAGTGAAGAGAAGCCTCTAATTATAGGATTCAATTTCGTGGTGGATCATTGCTTTAGTGGAGGATAACTCCTATAGAGAAAGATTGAGAAATTATAGGTGGTTAAGATTCTTATAGCTAATCAAAGTAAAAAACGAAAATTCCATTTAACAACTAACATGATCATTATGCCTACATTTATGTCGGCCCCGAGAAGTGTTAGGTACAATTCCTAGTTTAGACATCAGAGAAAGACACTACTTCCCAGAAGAGACAATAATAGGAGAGAAGGATGAAAACAAGATTCTCTAGAGCTCATTTCAAAACATATAAGCTCTGTCCCAACCCCGCGAATGTTGTTCCATTATCAAATTCTATTAGAGGCGTGTGCGCTATCAATTGTTTAAATTCTAAGAGATGTTTGACAAAGCATTTAATAAAAGTTTTAGCAGATTTTATAAAAATTAATGTGCAGTTGAAAAGTTGATAAAAATTGTGAGTTAATAAAATGTGGGGTTAAAATTAAAGTTTAACTAATCGAAATGTTGATAAAATTAAAACAAATTTCAATTAATGTTGGGAATCTACTTAACATGCGTAGCGAAAAATTAAAACAAATCTCAATTCCTACCAGAAATCGCCTTTGTGTTTAGATAGAAATTGTAATAAAAGTGATACCTTTTCACGATCTGCAAACTCCTTTGCCTTATCTTTGTTCTAGCAACTTGGATCTGTCTCCCACAACTGTCCAATTGTCCAACCTCCAACGATAATCCACACAGAGATCAAGATTGTAGTATTAGAGTTTTTCTTGCGCTAGCAAGAATAATGAAAAATCACGACAATTTTGAAAACCCTAATTATATTTATATAAGTCCGAATGGGCTTAGCCTGACCCGATCCAACATTTAATTAACACATTTAATTAAATCCGATCTGTGAAGTAATTAATCCAATTCAGGCTTATAAATAAGCAACCCAATTAATTAATTTATTCAACACTTGTTAAATTAATTAATTGACAAATCACAATCTTCCAGTTCTCCTTTTGTGTACGACCCATCAGATTCCCGATCACGATATCTAACGACATGAAATATTATTTTGATCTAATCAAAATTGATAAATTAAAATATCATTTTAATTTATCACCAATCACACTCGCTATCCCAGATTGACATCTAGTAATGTGTAAGGGAAATACATGTGACGGAAAATGTCACGTGG